AGTCGCACCGCTGCATCATAGGTGGTTCTATTTTTAAATCTCCTGGAAGCTCCATAATGTTTTCCGTCAGGGCTGCACTGATTTCCTTTCCTTTCAGTCAGCATCAGTACCCAGGCTCTGGTGCAGCCACACCCAGCTGGCCCTGCCCCTGTGCAGAGGGCTCAGGAAAATCCAGCCCAACCTCGAGTCCATTCATGGGGACAATAGGTGGATGGGAGGATTACTGCTAATGTTCCATGGCACAGTAGGGCAACCATGGACTGTGACAATTTGATTATATATCTCGGAACAGCTAGAGAAAAGCTGGAAGCAGGACACGAAGAAGCAATAACAGTTGAGGAGACAGAAATGCTAAATACCCTGGTTTGACCATTACCCGTGAATACATGCATTGAAATTATAATGTTATGGGTCATAAATAAGGACAAGCTCGGTGTGTTGCTTAAATTCTTCAAAATTAAAATTAGAGTTTTTAAAAAGGTCCGTCCTTCTTTCTCCATGCTCATGTACTTAGTAAGAGCAGAGTGACTGCCTCAGGCAACTGATTCCATCACATCCTGTCTTCCCGTTGTTCTTGGAGATTTGGGGCCACCCAAGAGAACAGGCCCCTAAGAGGATTAAGTACCTACCCAGTAAAGAAAAGCTGATGACAAAAGTATGCCAGAGTGGAGGAGGGGAAGACAGCACAGGGTTCACATGCAGACTCTTGTGACTTTATCTCTCTTCCAAGTATAAGGCCAACAGGACAGGGGGTGGGGGTGGGGGGCTGCCTGTGCTTTCATTCTAGGTCCAAACCACACACAGTCACCAGAGCCTCCTAACTTCTCCTACAGCTCCCACATGTGGTAACTAGTTAAAAAAAAGTCTAAAAATATACCAAAAGCCACAAGTATCTTAAAATAGAATTATTATTTAGGTACCATTAATTTTTGAATGGCTGTTTTTAAAATTAAAACTAAAATTCAACTCCATAATACTGCAAAATTAGAGGCAATTAAATTGTTTAGACCTGGGATTTGGGGTCATTCCACATTAGCTTGAGATTCAGAAGTTGATTTTAAATTCAAGATAGTCTATCATCTATTAAGAAAAAGTGAATTGGGAAGGGAAAGATGACCAAATTTGGGTTAGAATATTAATGACATGAATGGGTTATTTCCTTCCAGTTTTTACATCTATAAACACTTGCTCCTATCTGTCAATTAAGTGATTATGATTTTGATAAAAATGAAACATGTAGACATGAGATAGAAACAGAACAGAACATTATTTCTTAAGGAGATTTGAGGAAATCTTGATTATACCATGACTGAGCTTTGCAAATATTCCTGATCCTCTGCCTCATTCTCCTTCGTTCTCTGGTTTGGGGCAGATTCTGGAAAACAGTGCAGCTCTGTCACTTGAGGAATGAGGTTCCAGCTGTACCCCAAGCCTATCTGAGTGTGTAGTTCTCTTGACAGCTGCCTGCATCTGGAACACATTAAACAGCCTCACCCTTCAGATAGACTCATAATGTTCTTTGAATTCAGGATCAATTATCCATTGATGGTAAAGAATGCTTGAAAGAACAATGAAGAGCTGATGATGAACCAGGACAAAAGAGATCTAAAATGCTCACAGATTACGCAGGTGACTGGAACAAGGAGCTGAACGCTATTTGTGCTGTGTGTTCACTACATCTAAGGAGTTTTGCCAGGCTTTTTACACTTGATCTTAGCCTAAAGGCAAGGAAGTGATTTGCAAGGCTTTTTAAAAAATGGTAGATAAGAAATCTGGCTCCATCCTAAGAATGAGCAAGGGAAAAGGCAATCTCAGCTGAGGTCTATATTCAACAGTGTTCACAAAGCTGTGTTATAGTGACAAAATAACATTTTGGAAAACTCTTATCTCCAAGGGAACCATTTAAGTAACAAGAATACCCTATATAGGGGACCTTGGTATAATGCAGATCTGAAATGTTCTCAAAGGCTTCTGTGCAAAGTGTTCGTCACCAGATAGTGGAGCTACCTGGAGGTGATGGAACATTTAGGAGCTGGGTCTAGTGGGAGGAAGTGAGGTCACCACGTGGCCTTGAACGGGACATTTGACCCCACCCCTTCCTGTCTGTCACTTCCCTATTCACTCCTTCAAGCGGCACTCACAGTGAGGCCAAGCAGTCATGGACTAAAGGTCTTCAAACTGAGACAAAATAAAACTTTCCTCCTTGGAAGGAGGTTATGTTAGGTATTTTCTCAGGGACAGAAACTCCCCTCACCCACCCCTAGAGGAAGCCCCTCAAGGAAGATCTTTCCAAAGACACACTGCCAAGGAGCAATCTCCAGGGAACCACTCGACGTGAGGTCGAGGCACCAGGGCCACAGAGAGGCCCACACAGCCCAGCAGCTCCACCTCAGGTCCTTCTCTGGCTGTTGGGAACCAAAGCCTTAGGAAATTGCTCCTGGAAACTGAAATCCTGCACACTTGGAGCAAAGAGATTGGCTGCTGAGCTGGGAGAACATGGGAACCTCTCTCCAGGTCACCCTCCACTCACCCGTCATGAACAAGTGTGTGGGTGAGGGACAAGGGTCCAGCACATTCCCTGCTCAGCTGTCACGAGGGGCAGGCAAAGGGGCTCAGACTTCTCGTTGTGGCAAAGCAGAAGAAGAGCTCAGTGCTATAGCCCAGTGTTGCAGCTCTGAGGCACAGCCAAGTACTAGAGCTCAGTGTCACAGCCGAGTGCCACAGCTCAATGTTGCAGCTACCAAAATTTGAACACTCAAGAATCCGATGGTCACTGGAAGAGGTAAAGAAAAACCTTTATTATTCCGATGGGCTCAGAGGAGTTCATCCTCTGAAGGGTGAGCACCCTGTCAGAAATGAGAGCCTCCTTATATAGGGCTCCACAAGGTAGGTGAGCATGCTCCCTGAAAGAGGGGCGGAGTTGCAGAATATTCTGGCAAGGGGCAGAGTTTAACAGAACATTCTTAAAAGGGGGAAATTCTTAACAGAACCTTCTGGTAAGGGGGCAGAGATTAACAGAACATTGTTGTAGGAGGTGGAGCTTAACAAAATCCTTTTAGGGGGCGGGGCCCAACAGAACATTCTTACAAGGGGCGTGGCTAACATCATTCCTGAGGGGCGGGGCTAACAACATACCTGACAGGGCACAGGTTCAAACAGTTATAAAACATTTTGATACATTGGGCGTGAGCAAACTGTTACATTTCTGGAACAAAACATTCTGAGGGAAAAAGTACAAGGAGGCAAGGCAAGGGCCTGTTGTACTATACAGAATTGCTCCATCACTCTCAGGGCAGAGAACTGCAGAAACAGAGAGAAAATGGGGGTGGGGGGATGCTGCGGCTGTGACCTCCCCCGCAGCCCAGCTCTGCAACCCCTCCGGATGCCCGCCCCCACCTTTCCTACATCCAAGAGTTTCTTAGAAACAGCCCCGCAGGGACCACCCTTCTCACACAGTAGCACTCCCTCCAAAGGCCTTCGGAATCCCAGTTCAAAATATAGCCTGGAAGGTGGGCAGAGGTCCCCAGGCACCTACTCTCCAGCAGGCCCTAAACACTCCTGCCTCAGCCTCCCTGCCCGTCCCCCACTCCTCTTTCCTCGGTGCTGTCCTTCTCAAGATGAGGAGGAGTTGAGAAGTCAATCCACGCACAGGTCTCCTCGGGGCTCACAAACACACGTGACACCAACATAACCTCTCCCATGTGCTGTGCGCCCTCATCCCAGCCTGCTCAGCGCTGGGTGTGGCCAGGAGAGCTCGGCCTGTTGGAGATTCGTGCCACTGTGCACAATGAGCTGCATTTACCTGCGCTGTGAAGCTGTTTCAATCCGCACAAGGAGAAACGGAGTCCAAAAGCAAGAGGGGCCCCTGCAGGAGCGCCCCAGTATCAGTGCTACCAGGGGACAGACACACAGATGCCAGCAGCTCCAGCGGACCCTCACAGCCCTACCCAAACCACAGCAAGGGGCGGGCAGGGCGTGGCTCGGCACAGCGCTCTCAGCAGGCTCCAGGCCCAGCTTGGCCCTGCGAAGTCCCACAGGAACCAAACCGAGTCTTCCACGAGGGGGGCCAAGCATCCACAGCTGCGCCACCTGAAAGCCCTCAGGTGAGGAACTGCCTCTTACCTAGGCCTTCCTGCATGTAACCCCCACCGGAACAGCCCCACCGACGGTCTCGCCTGTGCAGAGAGAGAGGACACAGACCTCTGTAAACACCCCCACTCTGCATGCAGGTGAAGCAGCCCGGGGTCTCAGCGGGGAGAGCAGGAGCTGCCAGCCCGAGCTTGCTTCCTGAGGGTCGCTGCCCGCAAGAGTGATGGGGGGAAAGCGTAAGTCCCGGCCTGCGGGGCGTCGGATCCACCGAGGCTGAGACTAGCAAGGAAGTACAGAGAGCGCTCCCGAGAGACAGGAGGGGACCCCAAAGTGGTTGCCAAAGAGCCCAGTTCTCAAAGGAAGTTCCATAGCGCAACAACACAAGATGACTATAACGTGGGTCGAAACTACCATCCCTCGGTGAGACCACAAGTGCAGCGGCTTAGGGAACAGGGGTCCCAAGAGGAAGCAGATCCTGAGCAAGGGTCCACGGAGGGAACGAGGGCCTGAGAGGAAGGGATGGGTCGGAGGCTGTGACCCAGCCCGGAGACTGATGTCTCCCTAGACTTGATTGGGCCAGGTGATACCTGTTACGGACAACCTTGGACAGGCCTGCTCGGGCCATTCTGTCCCTCCCTATCCTGTGGCCGGGCCTTCCGCAGCTGCGCCTCCAGCCACAGTTACAATGCGTTCCCGACCTCTGCACTGACCCTCCAGGGCCTCCTCCCGTCTGACTGCCTATAGTATTTCTACCCAACGTAGCTGTCCATAAGAGGCCCAGGTGAGTGAGGGGATCAGCCCTGGTGCACGGCTCTTCCTGCCAGGCCCCTCAGGTGGCCCCGCAGCTCCTTGCAGCAGCTGAGGACACAGGAGCTCTGACTTAACCTCTGTGCGCCTCTGTTTTCTCGTAGGGAAAGAAGACTACGAACAGCACAGATCTTCCAATGATGGGTGAGGATGAAAGGAGCCACCCTCCTGAGCGCTCCTCAGACAGGGCTGAGCTTGTACTGGGAGCTGATCCCTGATGCTTCTGGGATGAGTCAGCGACCTGAGGAGCGCAGTAGGAATATGGACCTGCGCCAGGCCACCCCTGGCCAGTGGGAGAGGAGGGCCTTCTAGAGACCACAGGAACAGACAGTGCGGATTGTCTCTGATGGAACCAGGTGCCCAGCGGCACAGAGAACACTGATGAAAGCCGTGGAGCCAGGTGGGTTGGCGGGGAGCCCGACACGAGGTGTGGGTGTGGGACTCTCACAGGACGGGGGACAGCTGGGCAGTCTTCTCCCTGGGCTCCTTGGACTGTGGCTGAGCCGAGGGCCAGATCCAGGGTGAGGGAGATTCATGGCGGATGAGGACAGGCAGCCAAGGGGAAGCTGTGCTCAGGGCCTTTGGCACCACCACCTCCCCGGAGGCTGTGACCCACGCAGAGGGTTAAGGAGCTGAATGCGCTCCCAGATTATGGAGTGCCCAGGCCTGGGTGGGCAGAGGAGCCAGGGGCTGCCCTCAGGCCATGACCGCCAGATGGAAAGATCCTTCAATCACGGCTGCACACAGCCAAGTGCACGGCTCCAGTGGCTGGGCGGAAGCCACCAGGAAGCCTGGGCCTCCTGAACAGCTGCTGTTCTTGGACTCCCAGTGTTCTGCTACTGCGTGAATGCATCTGCAGACCTGTGAGCAAAGGGATCCAGAACATCGAGCTGCTTGGGCCCTCAGTAGCTCACAAGGCTTCAGGTGCGCAGCACCCACGCCCCGGCTGACTTCAGGACTCTAAATCGGAAGCTGCTCAGTGTGCTGCTCTCCGCTGGGGAACAGAGAGCTCAGCACCATCAGTGACCAGCTGGGCAGACCACAGCTCTTCAGAAGTGGGTGCTGTATGCACTCCAAGTTCGATGAGGCGCAGTGCATTCCCCACACCTGGGTGGTCCTGAGAAGATGTGCCACAGTGTGTGCAGGTGAAATGATCTCCACTAAAGCGCAGCACGGCAGGAAAGCACATCGCTGTGAGACCAGAAGGCCGGCCGGCCGCAGGAGTGAGAAGTCAAGTGGAACAGATGTACGCAGAGGGCGGCACCTACGCTCTCAGCTCCTGTGAGGCTTTACTTAGTTCGTCCTGGTAAACGTTTCTATGGCAACTTCCACTGTGCAGACAGGGGTTAGAACGGTTCTGCTGCCCCCATCAGCCCCCGGTTCCCCAGTCTTCTCAGTTTCCTTTCTCATCAGGCATGGAAATATCAAATTGGAATTGGTTTGTCATTCGCAAAATCTCTCTATCGTGTGGAATTTCAAGTCCTGAAAGAATCCACACGAAGTTAAGTTTTCTTCCCAAGAGAGAAAGCACAAAGTGTATGGCCCATCAGAGTTCACAGCTTGTCGCTGCCTCGGCTGTTCGAACCCCCAGGGACACCCCACACCCGCCAGCACCCACACATACACTCACACACACCCCTTGTGTGGCTCTGAGGTTGAGACTTCCTCCGAGCTACCACTGGGGGACAAAATCTCACACCTGCGTCCTAAAGCCAAGCCCGCCAATGGCCGCCCGTTTCTGCAGACAGTGCCTGCCTAGGCGGGGCCTCGCCAACTCCTCTGCTCAGGTCACCTGGACTGCACTGCATGCGAGTCCCCACAGCTCCCACCTACAGCTCCTGCGCATCTTCCAGCTGGCTCTGAATCCAGTTCTGTGCTGCTGCAAGGGGCTCCTAGGGGCTGCCTACGGCTCCTCCCTCTGTGGTCCATCACGGGCACCAGTGACCAGGATCACACCAGACTCCTCAGTCCTCTTATCCAGCACTGGATGTCCCAGGGAACAGAACAGGGAGTGCGAAAGCCCAGGGTCTGTCATCATGTCACTCACACTGCTCTCCCTAGACTCCGAAGGGGGAAAGACAGGAGGAAAGACTCCTGTGCACCTGTCTGTCCTGCTGGGTGCCAGGTGCCTGGAGAGGCTGCAGCAGGAAGGGGGCTAGAGACCCTGGTGGAGGCGGGCTCCACATGGAGATTGGCGGGAGAAAGAAATAACTGTGTTTGTGGAATCTCAGCTCCTGGGGAAAAGCGTTCTCAGGCTGGGAAGAGCAGCTGGTGAGCCCCAGCGAGACACGGCCTGGGTGGCAGCGAGGCACAACAGTAGGACAAGGGCAGTGCCAGGTCTCTCTCCAGGGCCACAGGACAGTGAAGGACTTGGCTTGTGTTGGGGTGGGGATGGGCGACCGAACTCCTCTATCCTGGCCAACAGCAAATCCCAGCCCAAGGAAGCCTTGCCCTGTGACCTCCAGGGACCCAATAAGGGGACCAGGAGGAGTGTGTGGCCTTTGAAGGAGCAGGCCACTTGCACTGTCTACCCATCCCCCGCTCCAGCTGCCCAACACAGGATGCCCACAAGAGCTTTGTCCTGAGCAGGGACTCACAGACAAACAGTGGTTCTCCTGCTCTTCCCTCCCACTGAGCCCTGGGAGACAGCCCGGCTACCACGAGAGTCCTGTGGGACCAGGGCACCCTGGAAGGAGGGAAGGAGACATCTCCCATCCCTGGTGTTTGCACGGTAGGAGTCGCTCACCCTCACATCTGGGTTTCATCGGCAGCGAATCAGGAAATGCAAGGCCCTGACCTGACGGGGTCATCGGGACGGTGCTGGAGAATCCCATCACCTGCCTTCCTGGGCTAATGGGCAGCCGGGCGAGCAAATCTGCTGGGTGTGGGGATGAGGATGTGCCAGATGCCCATGGAAGCAGGCCCCTTTCTCCAGGGTGGGGCTCCCTGCCATCCCTTGGGCCTAAGCGGGACAGGACGTGAGCAGGGTGGGGTGTCACACTGGGCTGGGAGCAGAGACTGTGCTGTGCTTCTACTCAGGAGGCAGCTGAGGTGCTGCTGGTGCTAGTGCTGCCCCTGCTGGTTCTGGTGCTGCCCCTGCTGGTTCTGGTGCTGCTGCTGCTGCTGCTGCTGCTGCTGCTGCTGCTGCTGCTGCTGCTTCTGCCCCTGCTACTGCTCAGGCTGTGGGTCGCCATGTGGATGCACAACCATGTACCCCAGTTCTGGGGGCAGGGACCCCAGCAGAGAGGGCAGGTGGCAGGCGTCTCAGAACTCGTGCTGGTAGTAGTCAGGCAATTTGACCCCATCCCTCTTCACACATACAGCATCGGCTCTGCGTCTCTGGGGACCCCAGTGTACTTAAGGGTGAACATGATGGCCCTCCCAGGGTGGGCGCCCCGGGAGGCTGCATGAATGTCACCCATGCCCCATATTCCTGTGCCTCCTTCTCTCAGCCACAGGGGTGGACATCAGAGGCTGGCCCTCAGGAGCCGCCACAATCCTCCTCTTCCCTTGCCGCTCAGCTTCTCAGCCCCAGCACTCTGAGGACTGGGGGCCCTGATTCTGGGAAGCATTTGATGGACTCCATGCAGGGCTTCACCCAGGACAGGAGGCCAGGCGGAGGGCGGAGGACACAGCACTGCTCTGGGCCCTCGTGCCTGCACCTGCGCATCGCATGACCCCCTCAGAAAGCAACCCCTTGCTGACGGAGGCTGAGCAGGGTCCTGGAGCTGAGCAGCACAGGCCCTGGACCCCGACACCACAGCTCCACCCTAGCAGCCACGTCCACTTGCTCAAACCCTGGCCCTCCTCTCCATGCCCTGCAGCTGGAGGTAACCTCTTCGATGGCCCTCTCCACCTGGGCGTCCCCAGCACCTGCACCTCCCTATGTGGCCTCTGCTCCCAAGGCCGAGAACTGCTCAGATGCTGGCTGCAGCCAGGAAGCCCCAGGCTGGGGACAGTGTGTCACTAAGGCCCCTGCGGCTGGCTCCGCACTCACTTCCTGCCTGCCGTGGGGTCTTTGGAGAGCTCCTCGAGGCAATGCTACGGGGATCCCTCAGAGGGAAGTAAGCAAAGGGGTCCTTGGCCTCTGTAGCTGCCACTGCTCCAAGCCTGGGCCTCAAGAGCCCTTTGCTGCTCATGATGACAGTGCCATGGCAGAGGAGTGGCGACCAGGGTCACACACGAGGTGGCAGTGCTATGGGACACGAAAGAGCTGGGGCTTTCTGACCTCTCTCCCTCTATCCACCTCTGTCCACTGCAGTGTATGGTAGGAAATGCCCAGTCTGGGCTGCACATTGCACCCCGTGATTTCCAAAGCACTCTCAACCTGGGGATGCCCACGTGGTTGCACCCACCCGGGCTGCTATCATCAGCGAGGCCTCTGTGGCTCCATTCCGACATCCTGTGCCCGGCCAAGTGCTGGACTCCTTTGCCACTCCTGCTCGCTGATAGATTCTGGAGCTCTTCAGGGCTAACAGCACCTACTGTTCATCGTTCATTCTTTGGAGATGGCTGCTCTGCCCACCCTACCCAGGATAAGGGTCCCCAAGAGATTTACAGGACCTTGGAAATCCACACTGCCTGAGAAACCAATCAGGAGCAGGTCTGCAGGACCACTGAGGGGAGTCTTTACTTTTACAGCACAAGGGGTCCCTAAGGTAGATAGCGTCCTCCTACATGGACCTGACAAGTGTGAGGGGAGTGCTTGCTTATCCAGCAGCTGCAGGGCTGTGATTGCCCCAAAAGCAGGTCTGGGGTTGGTGCAGAGTTTCAAGATAGTCAATGAGAGGCTCAGGGCAGGGCTGAAACCAAGGAATCTACTGGAAGGCTGGCTGTGGGGTAGGGGTTGTTAACAGTGGGCCCAGAGCCTTCCTGTTCTTAGCCAGGGTGCCCATACCCATGGTGCTTGTTGAACAAGGCCTCTGAATAGGACCACCTAATCTCTTGCTTCCCCACATTATTCTTCATCTCCTTTTTTGTTCCTCTTTTTGCCCAATTCGAATTTCTTCTGTCTTTTTCTTCACTCTCTTTTCTTCAGAGACTTTCATTAGTTTCAAAGGAAAGTGAGTACAATGTATAGATTCCGTGCTACTGGTATGTTCTTCTGTTCTTGTCTTGTTCTTGCACTCTGGCTTTCCCTCTTCTCTTCAACAGTTTCCTAGGGTTTGCATGATCATCCTGTGTCCTCTGGCTTCACTGGAAACCTCCTGTCCTTCTACCTATTGCTCTCCTCCCAATGCCTTCTCAGTCACCATCCTGAAGCTGAAGTTGCTATATTGAAGAGTTTATGTATGATATACGTATTTTGGGCAGGTCCTTGATTTTGATTTAATTGACATGGTTAAAGCTGATAGATTACTAAGTACCACAAATTGTCAGTTTCTAAGCTGTGCTTGATGCAGTGGTGTTGCTGATTGTATCAATTGGGCTAAAGGGTTGTGACTCACTTAATCAGTAGTACTTCCTGATCTTATGAAAATGAGAGTGTCTCTGAGTCATTAAAGACTCAAAACCTAAAGAGCAGTTATATCAGAAAGATTGAAGTACTAACCCAGGAATTAAACCAAGAACATTACCAACAACAAAAATAAAAATGAGAAAAAACTCCAGCAAGGCATAAACACAGACTTCTAGCTCACCAACCGCAAATTCTAGGTGATATAAGGTGGAAAATTCTGACAATCAACGAATGGGACACCCTGAACTCATAGCACAGGAAGTAACAAAACAGATCTATCAAGATATACAAAAATTCAAAACAGAAATAATTTCCAGATAACTACAGAGATGGTGAGCACAATGAAAGACATGATTAGAGACTCTAGAACAGAAATACACACACACACACACACACAAATAGATGAGTTCACAACCATGATAGAAGCCATGAATGTCCAGCATAGGAAAGAAATGGAACCCATGAAACAGATTCAAACAGATATCCAGGAGATTAAAAACTCCATAGAAAGCATTTCCAGCAGAATGAATGAATGTGAAGATAGAAATTTATGATGACACTGGCTGGTGGAGTACAAGCAATACTTGAAAATCTGTCTATGAGGTACAGTGTCGCTGTTTTGACGGTGTATGATGTGCGCAACCCCATGGACATGAGTGACTATAGGGTGCCAGAGAGTCCCTGTGCTCAGTATTTCATACGGGTTGTCTATCGTACATGGGGGTGCTCTTCAAACTTCGTAATATTTTTGCAAGGACCGTATGAATTAGACGTGGCTCCATCCAAGTACAGCACGTGCAGTATGCAAAACCTGGTCTTTCTTGGTCTTAGGGCTAGACATATATTCACAGTATCTGTTGTAGGAGCACAGCAGATTGGGAGATCTCTCGGTCTAAACTATGATGAACGCTATTGCCAGTGCCAGAGAAGGGCCACCTGCATAATGCACAAACACCCTGTGCTGACAGATTCATTCAGCAATTGCTCCTACGTGGACCTGGCACACATACTTACACTTGCGTCAGCAGAGTGCCTATATGGTGAAAATTTTACATATTATAATAAAACCTATACGGAGTATATTTGCGGGAACAGAAAAAAGGAAGGACAGGACAGGAGGATTGTGACTGTGGATCCTTCAAGCAGTGCTATGACAACACATGTTGTGAAAGCTCCTGTGTCTTTACGCCCGGTAGCATTTGCGATGGGCAAGTCTGCTGCGGGAACTGCACCTATGCCCCTGCAGGGACGCTCTGCAGAGGCGTGCTCAATATCTGTGACCTTCCAGAGTACTGCGGTGGAAGCACATTCTTCTGTCCAGAAAACCTGTATCTGCAGAACGGAACCCCGTGCACCGAAGAGGGCTACTGTTACAACGGAAACTGTACTGACCGCACCATGCACTGCAGAGAAATCTTTGGAAGAAACACCAGAAAGGGTGATGATATCTGCTATCAAATGAACACAAAGGCCAGCAGATTTGGGCATTGTAACAGGAGATATGTAGGACTCGCATTTGAGAGGTGTCCAATAAGCGACATTCTTTGCGGAAGGCTGCAGTGTAGCAATGTAACCCACCTTCCCCGGGTGGATGAACATGTTTCATTCCATCAGTCTAAGCTTGGAGACTCTTGGTGCTTTGGACTAGATGAGCACCGTGGTGCATTCGCTCGGGACCTTGGATTTGTGCGAACTGGTACTCCCTGTGCTCCAGGAAAATACTGTCATTATCGTCGCTGCAATAACACTGTGCAAAAAATAAACTACGACTGTACACCAGAGAAGTGTAATTTTAGGGGAGTTTGCAACAACAAAAGGCAATGTCACTGTCATACAGGTTGGTCTCCTCCACTGTGCCTATCAAGAGGTGCCGGTGGCAGTGAGGAAAGTGGACCACCTCCGAGAGCAGTGCGGGAAGTCACACAGAACCCGGAGCCCGTGCACTATTTGAGAATCATGGTTGGTCGCATTTATGCGTTCATAGCGGCGCTGCTCATTGGGGTGGCCATGAACGTGCGGACTGTCAAGACTGCCACAGTTCAGGAAGTAAAACAGCCTCAGCCAGCTTAAAAGAAGTCAGCGTCCGGCCCCCGATAAACCACTGAGGGGCCACACAGACACCTCGGAGGAATCAGAAGAAAAGGTGGCAAAGCCTCAAGCCCTCCAGATCCACACAGGTGTCCCGGGGCCGTGGTGCATGTGGGGGAATTTGGGAGACGGCAGGTGTTCCTTGACAGGCTGCGGAGGCTCACTGCGGGATGAACACAAAATAAACCCTTCTACCCCAGAAGCGGCTTGTCTCGTGTATCTTGTCATAGCCAGGGAAAGCCGGCGAGCCCAGATGGGAGCTGAGCACCGAGAGCACAGGAGGGGCCCTGGGCAGCCTGGGAGTCATGGAAGCAGGGAGAGGCTCCCTCTCTGCGGAGGCCAAAGCCAGAGATTGTGCTTTAGGAGGATGCTCATGGTGCAGAGACAGGGGCAGGCAGCAAAGGGGACTTAGAAAGACCCCCAAGAGACGGGAGGAAGCAGGGCCCAACAGGCCCCCTCCCAAAAGCGGCAGACATAGTACTTGCCCTGTCCAGGAAGAGGGAGCCATGTGGTTGCCAGTTACCCCCTGCACCCTGGGGGACTGTGCTAGGACAGTGAGCACTCTCTGGGCAGGCGTTGTAGGGCTGGCTCTCTCCCGGGGCCAGGCCTGTCCACCATCGATGGAGCCAAGGTCAACTCCTTCCCAGCAGAAGGGGGCC